TGTCCCCCCCCCCCCCCCCCCCGCCCCCGTTTGAAAATTCTGGATCCGCCCCTGTGGTCTCCTGACCTTTGGGCACAATCAGCAGCAGGTTTGTGAAAGTGTTTTGTTCTCGAAGCAGCTTAACGAAGCCCGCCCTTGCCTTGTATTAAACAATATAAAGTAAATGACAGCAGCAATTTTGAGACTAACAATATAGAATTTATTCAGCTTTCGTCCACACAGTGGACTTCATCAGGAGACTGTGACTGTCACATTTTTCTTATGGAGTCCACTGTGTGGACAAAAGCTAGAAAATAAATTCTATATTGTTAGTCTTAAAAGTGCTGCTGCCATTTATTTTATATTGTTCTATGACATTTATTTGCTTGGCGGGAGTTCATTTAGTCAAGCTGTTTTGTTTTTATAACTGTAGGCCTACATACGTCAAGTTTAAGAATAAAAACATGTTTTCCATCTTTTAGTTAGTTTGTTTAGTTTCTTTTACTGTATAATTCACGTTTTATATATTTTTTTCATTATTTTCTTGGTAAGACCGCACCACAGTTTGTGCGTACCGACGTTTCAAAGGTAAAGTGTCGCAAATAAATTAATATGATATGTTGTATACTGTTATATTTATCTGTAGGCTATGGGATGAAAAGATAGTTCGTGTTAAAAAGGCAATCATGCACGTTTATTAGTACTGTACTCGAACATTCTAGGAGCGAGATACTGAGTCTGAAGTCATAGTAGAATATTAAAGTGCATTACACCTTTTCTTTTCCAAGAACCAGTCAAATTTACTGAACCAAACTTTTTATAGAATTCGATCCAACTCGGCCACAGTCAACTCGGCCACAAAAAAGTTCGGCTGCAGTCAACTCGGCCACAAGTTAACTTGGCCACAAGTCAACTCGGCCACGATTATTACTATTGCTGTTATTATTGGAGTCATTGTTGTTATTATTATTGTTGTTTTTATTACCGTTAGTTTTAATATTAATTATTAGTCTTAGCATTAACATTATGTATTCATTGCAGGTTGAGATCCATGGCTAAATGGAAAAAAGGATTAGCCTTTATCTTGTGATTAATCTCTTAGGTTATCACACCTACACATAAGCAATCATTGACTGATGCACATTTATTTTATAATGTTATGCCATAAGTTATATAGTGGGCTACGTATAATGTTATATTTCATGATTTTGAACATTTTCACGCTTTTCCCGTTAAAATTGGATAAGTACTTACGAAGATATGATATTAATCACTGTTTTTGATAAGGTTTTAGTCAGCTATTCAATATAATACCTTACACCCCTCTGCCGATAGCCATTCAAGCAATGCATTACCTATCAGCCAGAGATGAATAGAAACGCATTTGCCAAGAAGATGCAATTGTTTGTGGCCCTAGGCTATATTACTATAATTATAAGGAGGTGTTCTGATGGACATTTTTTAGGGACCTATGTATTATACACTTTACAATTATTATTATTGTTATTGTTATTATTATTATTATTATTATTATTATTATTATTATTATTATTATTATTATTATTATTATTATTATTATTATTATTATTATTATTAGCATATATTATTAGTATATAGCAAGCAAGAGAAACGTTTTATTTAGTTATTTATTGTATAGTCTTCTGTGTACCTATAGTACCTATGTTGACGTTTTTTTTTGTGGTTTTTTTTTTGTGCATGTTAGGATTGTATATGTTATTGTCATTTTCTTTTAATGACCCTAATATGCTCATCTGTGTTTGGATTTTTTTTCTATTTTTAGCAAACTTTACATTGTTGTCACAGTAAATCATTGAATATAGCTTGTTATCAATTAATCATGTCCCAATGTCTAGTTGTGGGAATGGTCAACAAACAATTATTTAACATTAATTTGGTAGTTAATTCCGGTAAACAATGTATTCACAAATAATTTTAGAAGGCTGTTTAATTGAAATAATGTTTATCTACTTTCACTCAATAGACTTTTTGAAATGTAGCAAGATCTACACTATGGTTTTCTGCAGTTTCAGTTCCATATTGATAGGCGGCCCAGTGTAAAACAGGGCACACATCTGGTTACCCTCCAAAAACAACAGTTATTAGTCAGGAAATTTAACTGTAAAGTATTAATTTTTTTCCTAGTAAAATTTTAATAACTTAATACATGAAAATATTGTAACAATTGTGATTTATAAGTCAGTCAATTATGGGTACTCAGTGCTACAATATTTTTTTCTAATTACATCATATGCTTTATAATTATTTGGGTGATTCCATGGTAACCGACGTTACAATTCATGTATATACAGATCTCATGTCCAAGAGTTAGACAAAACATGAGGGAAGAAAAAATAGGCTATAGTTAGGGTAAAAAACCCAGTTTTTTGGCCAAAGTGGCAAACAATTATTTACAATGGTTTTTTGAGTAGAAACTATCTAAGAGGGTTTCAAGAGCCACCAAAAAAAAAGTTGAAACAATTTTTCCCATGTGAAAAAGAGTTATGACCTT